GATTTCCTCTGAAGCGCCTTCGATAGCTGTCTGAGTGACAACCACTAAAGACATTTGTGCCCTAGAATGTAAACATTGGCATTCTGCAGACTGGCTTTGTTTCCATTGCAGGGACAAAACCATAGGGGCATGGCACAAATACCATTTTATTGAGATGAAGTGGTCTGGGTGCCTATAATGTCTCTTTAATGTCTGTACACATCGCAATATTTAGCCTTCTGTTGTACACACTAACAGAAGATGGAGACACAGTATTGACAAATGTCCTAACTATAGTTAATGTCCATATGTTTTTCATTTATTTTTTTCCCCTCTAGCAATCCAGTGCACGGGTTGTGGAACACAGTTCGGAGTTTGAGGATGCTTTAGCAAGTCTCTGTATTATGATTGCACCCATGGCTCCACACCTGGCTTCAGAGTTATGGAAAGGTATATTAAATTGTATAGACCTTATATAAAAGCAAAATATCAGTTCTAATAGTAATCCAATGTTGTTGGTATAATTTTATCTGTTCTATACCCATCATCACTCAACATTTGAAATGTCCAGAAGAGGGAACTGTCATTTTAGGAGGTGTGGCTGGAGGTGTGACCAGAGGCAGGGCTTTTCTAGATGACATTGTGTCCAACCTATGTAGCTCAACACTTATTTTACAACTAGACCAAGCTATGCTAGTTAACATGTACTAATTGCTAAAACTATTAATTGTAGTTTAAAGACGGATCATAGTGCATTTTGTTTCTAAGAAGAGCTTTTATACACTTATATCCACTACCAATTTGGTGCTTCTAGAAAATAGGGTTATTAGGATAGAAAATGGGGAGAGAAGAGAGAGGGGTCCAGGACCAAATGTTTTTTGTTTCTTTTGAAAAGGGATACTTGGGTGGTGTCCCTATCAATTCTAATATTAGAGTCAATTCTAGACACCCAATTGACCGTTTAAACAGTATGTAGAGAGGTATTAGATACATTTCGCTTTGAAGTATTCTTACATTAGAAATGGATATGATTAAAGTATATGTCTGGTCCAATTTTTTCCATCTACATCTATAGGCATGGCACATGTGCAGCATAAACTGTGTACACAGTACAATTGGGATGCTGATGTCCTCCTTCAACCATGGCCTACTGTTGACCCTGAGTATCTTCGTGTGCCTGACACTGTGGCTGTATCTGTATTGGTAAGAGTTTACCATACATAACACTGTAGTATGTTTTTTTTGTTATTACTATTTATTTGTTAACATTTCATTATTATAAGAGAATATCTAGTTGAAAAATTATTGTGTTTTAGACAATAATTGTGGGATTTGAAGTCTTTGTTCAATGTAATTATTAATTTGATACATTTGACGTATTATGGATAATATATTGAGGAGACAATAAGATGCCCTGTCTTTTGTTCATGGGAAGCCAGGGCCTAGTGTACCTAGAATAGACAAGTTTTCATTTATTACAACTCATTATAGACATATTTACCTATCTGCAAAATAAATAACTGCCTCTACAGGGTTTCCACTGAAGTTCCAAATGGATGAGTCTACATATTGTTGTATAACGATTTCATAAAACTAACTGATGCTTTGCTATTAAAATTTAATTTGAAAACAAGGACAGCAGATCTGTGGATTACATGTAAAGAAATTGCAAATTCATCAAAAGCCAAATTTGATCCTTAGTTTATTGAAGTGGAAAATCTCTCATTTGTACCTTCTACCTCTTATATGAAACCAATAATTATGGTATGCCAATTTAAATATTAACATATAAATGTGATAGGAGCAATCATGTAGTTATTGGCTTTCTGTTTCTTATTGTTATATGAACTCAAATAGAAAGTTGCATTGATCATTTCTCACTAAAGATTACACTGTAAGATAGCTCACGCTCCCTGCATCTTTATTTAAAATATATCTACTCAATATATTTAAAGGCACAATCCAGTCATAATAACAACTACAGCTGTAATGGTTATGCTGCCAGGAGTGCAATGGAACCCCCTATTGTTAGTAGTTCAAACCGTTTGTGAAGCATCGGCCACACATGGCTAACTCATCGGCTGAGAGTGTCAGCTGATCACTCTGAGCCAACCAGCTAGTCCTGGACAGCAGACATCCTGATTGAATTTTAATTTTATTGTGCATTAAAGATTTTAGTTTATATCTGTAAGTTGTCTCCCTTTATCAGTAGAACAAAGTGTTTTAGCTAAGAGGTATGATTTATAAAAACACTGCATTGCTGAATGTGCACCCTCTATGCACAGCTGGCTCTACCAGTGTATGTGGCACTGCATTTTGGGATTGAGGTACATGTCATATTAGTGGAATGTGCACTGTTTAAACTCCAGAGAGTCATTTTTAAAATGTGTAACTGAACTGAATTTGTGATGAAAGCAAATATTGTACTCACTAAGAAAATGTATGTTGCTTTTTCTGTAGGTTAACAACAAATCCTATGGTACAGTTTCTATACCTTACAACGAATCCCAGGATTTGAAGACTGTGCAAGACCTGGTGCTTCAGAGTGCCCTTGGAGAGGCACACCTTAAAGGGCGCATTATTAAAAAAGTATTCCTCTCTCCACGGACAGCCCTAATCAATTTCCTTGTAGAATAATAAAGCTTCAGCATGTGGGAGGAACAATAGTAATAATAAGCTGTGTTTAGCGTGATGCTAAATTACTCAAACGAAATTGGTGCTGGGAAAATGAAGAATCTACACTTCTAAACACACACACTGTATGCACAGGGCTTATTGAAGATAATATTATAAAACTTAATGGAAATTGCGAACCGTCATATCCAGAAGGATTTATTACAGAAAATGATTTTGTTTCTGAGAAGCTAATGAAATGCTTGAAAGTACAGACAAGGCAAATGTGTGTATAGTGTTGTACTCTCATTAATGGGCTTGTCCTGATGTATTTCTTGCCACTAAGGATGTCGACACATCTTCCTGAAAAAAATTCACTGTGAACGATTTCAGAACTGTGCTGAAAGCAGTCTGCAAACAACCCTTACCTATACTAGATGCATTTGAGTTTTTTGACTTACAAGTGAGGATTCTGCTCTTGTTTTAAAAATACTAATAAATAAAATTTAAAAAAATGTAATAGTAAGCCAAACAAACAAAGCATAATCATTGAGAAACATATAGCTAAAAACTAAACCTGATATGATAAAGCAGGTCAGGTTATTCATCCATGTACTCTAACACTTGTCAGTCATTGAGTGTCTTTGTCGAACTTTAAAATCAAGGATTGACAAGGACCCCCACAGGGCCAAAAAACATTGTTGAGCCTGTCTGCCTGCTTCACTGTATTGCATCAAAGAATCCATGTATTAAAAAAGTACTTGTAAAAATGACAAAATAACATCACAATGAAAATAAAGAGCTAGCAGAGCAGGATACAACACTTTCCCTAATACACCTTTACCCATCTAAACAAAAGGATTCATGCCTTGCTTTTCCCCTCTAGCATTCAAAATGGTATCTCCACAATATTTGAATTTAACATAATGGCCTGAACCCAGTCCCTTTCACAGTACAACTTGGTTTATATCATTAGAGCAGTCTGTAGTTTATCATACACCAAAGGAATAAATATAGTCCCAACATAATTTAATGGTTTTTTTTTTTAGACACAGATATATATTTTTTTATCTAACACAAGATCATAGAAGCATTGGGAAAATGACAAGATAGAGAAGAAATGTGCACTGCTACTTTGTTAACTTGAGTCGAACATTACAATTGTGATCATAAAGAATGCTATGCAGGCCAGCATTGTTTGAAACAAGTCATCGTATAATGTAGTTGTAATTTTTTTTAAAGAATACAGAAATGTAATTGGGTTTTTTTTTTTTTTTTTTAAATGATGTCCTTTAAGGCATGTGCATCAAGAATTTCAAGATTAAACATTGCTAAAATGATGGAAGTTCGGCATTGATTTTCTGACAACATTGATCACATAATCAGTCTCTTATCGGTCTTCCTGTATAGATCTTTTCCAAAGTGAACGTTCTGTATATTACCTAAAAGAACCAATTTCTTGTAGTTCTGTTTTCAAACAATGTGTGCATAATATGTATAGCTTATAAAGGAAATACACATTAATAGCCTCATTTCTTTTCCATCAGGGACTTTGTTGTTGCCAAGTTGTAAAAAATGGTTTCACTATTTTCATAAAATGTAATTACCGTATTTTCCGGCGTATAAGACGACTGGGCGTATAAGACGACCCCCAACTTTTCCAGTTAAAATATAGAGTTTGGGATATAATCGCCGTATAAGACTACCCCTCTTCCAATGCACACCAAATAAAAATTAGCCATGATGTACAGTGAGCAGACACAGCTACACAGCAAGACATTAAATAATGATAATCTGAAATTGCATTTAAAGCCCAGGTATGTGCCAGGCTGTTTGGGCATATAATCCATGCCTGCTGGTATAGCACACAGGAGGCTAATTGCGATATATTCTTTTTACTCCCCCTCCATTCTTTTTTACTCCCCCTCCATTCTTTTTTCCCCCCCTCATTCTGTTTAATCCCCACTCCATTCTGTTTAATCCCCATTCTTTTTAATCCTCCATTCTGTTTAATCCCCCCTCCATTCTTTTTACTCCCCCCCTTTTTTACTCCCCATTCTTTTTACTCCCCCCCCCAATCCTCCCAACATTCTTCTCACCTCCCCTTCCCTGTGCAGAGTGGGTGGCTGAGCTCCTCTTCGTCCTGTCAGTCGGGTACCGCGCGGTACAGGAGATTCAGTTACCTGTTCCCGGCCGGACTGAAATGAAGTGAGCACTCCGGCCGGGAACAAGTAACTGAATCTCCTGTACCGCGCGTTACCCGGTCGGACCGACAGGATGAAGAGGAGCTCGGCCACCCACTCTGCACAGGGAAGGGGAAGTGAGAAGAGAGGCAGTGCGGCAGCCCTCTGAGCGCTCTCTATAGAGCGCTCAGGTGGCTGCAGCATTACAAGGGCCAGCGATGGGGGCGCAGGGCGCCCCCGGCAGCCATATAGACTCTATACCCGGCGTATAAGACGACCCCCGACTTTGGAGAAGATTTTCCAAGGTTAAAAAGTCATCTTATACGCCAGAAAATACAGTATTTGCACTGTTTGTATTCCCTTTCCTCATTAAGTGTTAGCATTTAAGTAAATAATGAAATTATAGAATGAATGCAAATTGTATGGCATGGACCATCTGAGTATTGTATGATAAAAGGAAAATTAGTAAAATTTGTGAAAACATTTTTTTTATAAAGATCGAGAGATATCTTCAGAAAAGGACAGACAAAATACATAGGTTTGCATATAAAAAAGCTACATGTGGTAGAGTTTTAAAAATGTTGAATGTTGTGATATGAGGTGCAAATATAAGAAAACCCACAGAAACTGCAATTCAATGTACTTTATAGAAAAAAAAAGTTGAAGGAAGCACGTGGATATAAAGAGAAAAAATATTTTATATTTTATCCTTTTTAAATTTGTTCAAAGTAAGAATTCAATTATATTAATCAATTTCCAGGATGTTGTAACTCTTAATAAATACATTTTAAAAATCCATAGAATCTGCTCTAATTAGCTTAGACTGGGGGGGACTTCGTTTACATATCACATCTACAACTCAAACTAACCAAATGCAGATACCAATTAAGGAGCCCTTTACTCGTGAAGGTGGTAATATTAACTTGATATATCAAGGTATTTTGTCATTTATGACCACTTGCCCTTTTACCTTTACATTTACTGGTAGGTAATACAGACTTCTCTTCTGGGACAGTACACATGGAATATAAGATGCCCCTATAAAGCAATCTCTATGCAATATGCATGGAGACTTAGTGGCAAGACGCCAATGGAAAAGCTTCACAAAGTCTCAAAGAATAAGAAAACTCTGTTTTTACAGAGCGACATTAAGAAGCACTGTATATATCATTGTAAATAGCTTCTATAACCTGAATAGCCCATTTAATGCAATCGCTCACTTAAACGCATAAATTCCATTGTACATATTTTGTATATATTTGGGAAAATTAAAAGCCCTTTAAAAGGGAAAGAGCTTGAGAAAAAAGAAAGGAGGAGAAGAGAGGGAGAGGAGAAATTGGAGAGAAGAAAAGAGGAAGAAATAAGAGGAGAGAAGGAGGAGGGAGGAAAGAGGAAGGAGAAAAAAAATTAAAAAAAATATAAGTATTAGAAGCTAATTTGGAAATACAAAAGATCTTATTTAGTACTTCCTTGCATTGGTTCTAACCAGGAATGCTCTAAATATTGAAATATCTTCTAAACGGCAAATTCTATGATATAATTGATTTTTCAAAAAAGGAAAGGGGAAAAAAAGGAGAGAAGGAGGAAGATAAGAAAAGGGGAAAGGAAGAAGTGAAAGGGAAAGAAAATGGGGGGAGGGAGGGAGGGGAAGTGGCTCCCCAAAATGAAAAATCCTTAATGCCTGACAAAAACAAATCTATAAATCTGTTTTGTTCTCCTAAAGCTCCAGAACTAAGTAAATCAACTCAGAGAAAATCATTTGAACTAAATAAAAATCAATCAATTCTCTCAGAAGAGAAATCACAAGAAGAAGATCATGTGACTAATCCGCCCCTTTCTCAAGATTCCTTAATCTCTATGATGGATGAACTTTACAAAAACATAAAAAAAGATTTGGATCTGAACATGTTGGAACTGAAAAATGAAGTAACTAACATAAGTCAAAAACTCTCTAAACAAGCGGACCTATTAAATAAATTTTAAAGTGACTTCATGGAACAACAATTCTCAGACAAAAAAGATAAATTATCAATGGGGATTCCCAACCAAACTAATAATAAATTACGAAGGCAGAATGCACAATTAGATGGACCCAATGCAAGCAAAAGAACAACTGAAAAAGTGGAGTATTTAACATAGCAAAACAAGGATGGTTTCCATAAGAACTTACAATTTTTTGTTGTTGTTTTTTTTCCTCTCTCTCCCAAAAGAAAGAATTACAGAACCTTCCCATAGAGGCATTTGTCTTAATAATCTCAACATTTCATAACAACTTGAATTGTTAATCAAACTTACTATAGTACAATATATAGAAGCTAGGTTAAAAGACAGATTTATATTTAATTTCTTGATTTTATTATTTAAGAAAAGAAGAAAGAAAGGGTTTTTCTTTTTTTTTCTCTCCTCTATTCTTTAGGAAGATGGGACTAAAAAGGAAGGGACACGATGTTAAAAGCTAATATAATGCAGTGGAATTATACACAATAAACTTAGTAAGATTATGCAAATGGTGTTACCAATTAAGCATACAATATGTAAGAATAAAGAATACACAAAAATATAACTGGCTTTAAATAACATAATGGATTTTGACACATCGCAACACTTATAAAAACTAGAAAATTGAATTGATAAAGGGAGAAGAAAAGAAAGGGAAGAGGGAAAGGGGAAAAAGGGGGGAGAAAATGGGAGAGAATTATTTTTTTCCCCTCATTCAGTGTATTATAAGGAATTTGGGGTTAAAAGGAAGGGACTTTATTAGACTTGTTCCTTATATGGAAAAGATAATATAAAGTAATGGAATTATATACAATATACTTAGTGAGACTATGGAAATGGTCTAACTAACTATACACTCAACATGAAAGAATATACGAATATAACTAATTATAAACTCAACATGAAAGAATATACGAATATATCACAATTAGAACCTTAATTCGCTTTACATAATATGATGGATTTTGACACAATCTAGCACTTATAAAATAGAATATAACAATTTTTATTGGTAGATGATCAAAGAGTTACACTAATATTCATTAGAACTAAAGAAATTACAATACTTACTATTGCACTTACAAGATAAATATAATTAATAAAACATAAAAAAAAGTGTTTTTTGTTTTTTTCTTCAATTAAAAAGGAAACCATATAAGGACATGTTGAAAAAATAGTGAGGTCTAATATGGAAAGAAAAAGAAATATTCACGGAAACAAAAGCACTTATAATTTAATAAAATATGATAGAAAGTAGGTACACCTTAAGTGTGGCCTAAAATGGAAATAGGTCGGATCGGAAATGTGTTTTCTGATCACACATGGTGTTTGCATAAGGTATAAATGGAGTATGAATGTAGAGTATGAAAGACGTTATTTTTCTTTTTATGTATTAAATTAATTTTATAATTTTTCAGAGGGAACTAGTGCAGAGAAGAGCATATTGGTTTGAAGAACATGAGGCTCAAATGAATAGAACAAATATAAATGACACTTAATTTTATATCAATCAAAGCTTGGGGATTGAATACTGCATATAAAAGAGGCCAGTTGTATCATACACTTCCTAAAAAATTATGCAAATTCAAAATCAAATTAAAATCAAACTTCAAGAAAAAATAAATAGAAACTTTGGGATTTTAAAGCAAAATTGGTATCTAAATAATAATAAAATTGACAAACTCCTCTCTAATAAATTAAAATGTAAAAAGAAGAATAATTGAATATCTAAAAAGATAAGGAATAAAACTCTTTTACCCCCTAAACAAATTGGAGAAGCATCCTACTATCATACTCTATATTTAAGGATCATACTTATCATAAGTATCATACTTTATAATTTAAAACTAATGGAAATGAGGAAATACAAGATGATAATATCAAAGAATTTCTAAAAAAAAAAAAAAAGTAACTTACCTAAAGTCAACTCAAAAAATTTAGAACAATTAAATAAACCTCTCTCTATTTTTAACATCCAAAATACAATAAAATGACTGAAAAACGCCAAAGCCCTAGGACCAGATGGATTCTCAGCATTTTTTTTTTTTAATTCTTTATTTTGTCGTGCTTTGAGTAAATAACATTCAAGCTCGTGGTGCCCCAATAGCATTCCCCGAGCATAGTTTTTAGGCATAACAGTTGGAGCATTGAGGTTATCAGCACATTTTGTAATGTTAAAGTAATGTTGCTTATATCAGAATGTTAGTAAATACATGTTACATTAGCATTGGTTATGATTACAAGAAGTTAATTAACATGTCTGTCTTCGTTAGAACAGGCGATTTCTGCACTTGGGTGTCGTTAGTGTAAGTGTTGCCCTCCTCACTGGGGTGGGGGGGAGGTGATTACCTTTGTGCATGGTTGACATCTCAGGAGAGGCGTAGCCCCTAACCAAGGGGGTAGCGGGGGGGGGGTGTATGCGCTTCGATGACTGGTTATGTGTGGCTGGATGTAACCGGACTAGGCGCAGCTTCGTGCTTGGTTGTGTTATCGTGAGCCTGGTTTCTCTATACAACAAATGTGAATGGTGAGAGCACACTATATAACTTTACCCTTTTTGTACATACAATTCCTTTGAAAATCTATAATCAAGAAGAGAAGAACATATAGGGTAATAACGTAACTACTTAAGTTATTTAATACTGTAGATGGTAAAACTCACATGGTCATGAGCCACTTTTAAAAGCTGGCTCAGACTAACGGCATATCAAATCAGCGTATGTAAAGTTGAACTCCCGGCTAAAATTCCTCTGTGGTCCTCAGTCTTAATTGTTTCAATCAATTCAGGATGCAGGAAGTGATGAAATACAAAAAAAACTTTTATTTCCACATACTCTAGGTAGCTGGGTACAAATACAATAAACACTGAAATAGTAAAAAAGTCCTCTTTAGTATAAAACTTGACGCGTTTCGGCATATAGCCTTTATCAAAAGTTCATCCTTCTTCCTCTTTCTTTCTTGTTTAAATACCTTTCTTTTAGTGCTCTTTTCTTCCCGCCGTCTGTGGTTCTTTCATTCTTCCGGTTTCCGGTATCTGGCCGCATCCTCGCCGTCTTCCGGCGTCTGACCTCATCCTCACCAACTTCCGGCGGCATTCTTGAACGTAACGTCCCCTACGCATGATGTCACGACGTTCTCTTCATACTGCCATCGCGGCGCATGCGTAAGGGGCGGAGCCTTATGCGCTAGATAAGTTCGCCCTTTTTAGAAATGGATCTCATCAACTTCCAAATAGGGCAAAAAATAAATAATAAAACTTTATAATTTTTAAATATAACACATTTTAACATATATTATTCTTCATAACAATTAAAATATATCCTATAGTCATAGAACTATACATTTGAAAAACTAAACTGTCCAGATATGTTGAAGAGAAAAAAGGGGGAAAAAGAGTATATAAATAATCTCCACATTTACATTCATATTAATACATTGAAATCATATATATATGTATTAATATGAATGTAAATGTGGAGATTATTTATATACTCTTTTTTCCCCTTTTTTCTCTTCAACATATCTGGACAGTTTAGTTTTTCAAATGTATAGTTCTATGACTATAGGATATATTTTAATTGTTATGAAGAATAATATATGTTAAAATGTGTTATATTTTAAAATTATAAAGTTTTATTATTTATTTTTTGCCCTATTTGGAAGTTGATGAGATCCA